CCATGACCTTCTTTCAGACTTAGATATTTATCAGTTAAAAAAAATTATTTATGGTTTTCCAGTCTGTCCATCAATCACTTAGTGAAAGTGCTTTTGTTTAGAAAATTTGCTGTTGCACACAGTCTCTCACACATTTGAACATAGTTGTCTATCTAGTCATAATTTCAAGGTCATTTTTGTGTCTAAAAAACTGGCTGACTTGGGGACTGGTTTGTTCTGTGTAGCTCTTTCTCGCTCTTTTTTAAACAAAGTTGTCACTAGTCAGATTAAAGATCACTGTGGAATTCGGGTGGTTATGAGCAAGGCCAATCCCTTGCATGTAGGAAGGTATGTAAAATGGTAATGCAGGCAATATTTTTTTGGGGACGGTCGAGGTGGAAATCATGTGTTACTTCCACAGCAAACATGAGTGTGCCTATGAGTTAGACAAAGATCTTAACTCTCCATGCCACAGCCCGTGCAGGTTTAAAGCTCCCGGGGAAGTGAAAAAAATATTGTGATGGTGTAATAATAAGTAATGGAGTTTGGCTGGCTGTGAGTGTGCCCTTTATTGCTTTTCTTGTCTGCTGTATATTTCAAAGAATATGAAGCTGTGAGATTATAAAAGAAACACAAAGATATAAAGGCAAAGAGCTAAAGTCAAATAGGTTGTGGACCAGGAGTACGTTACCTATCTTGCCCAAGACCTCCTTGAGAAAGGGATTTAAAAAAAAATCTGGGACTCTATATAGGCTCTTGTAATTGTTTAAAAAAAGCCTAAATTTGTAGTTATTTTAAACTACATAGGGATATGTATGTATCAATGTGACACTTGCTCTCTTGGGAATCCCAGTGAATGTAAATTAATTTCTCCTTTCCTTTCCTTATTCCAGTCATCCCCTCCCCCATGAATTCTTTCTTAATGACAACCCCTTACCTACTAATTGAAGACAATATTGCTGAGAGAGCTATAGGAGCTGATGATGTCTTTTAAAAATATTAGGCCAGATGGTTACATAAGATCTGGCTTAGCAAGAATGAGCATTAGCTTCTATAACGAGCTTTCAGGAGACAGTTGATTTCTCCAGAATAGAGAACGTTTTCTCTTTTATTCTTTTGGAACAGAGCTGCCTCTTATAATATGGCCACTTAATTAATGGCATAACAATCTGTTCAGGTGCAAGGAAGCTTGGCATCCTCATCATCTTGTGTGTGTGAGTGTGTGTGTGTGTGTGTGTGTGTGTGTGTGTGTGTGTTGGTAGATGTAGGGAAGAAAGCATACTGAAGTTTTCTGAAACATTTGTATTCAGGTAGGTCATCAGACCCATGTCAGATATTCCAACCCAGTAATTTTATTTTAGCAGAGCATTTAACAGAAGTCTCATCTTCTCCAACTGTCTATCTGGCCAGCAGCTCTGTCTGTTGTCATCTCCTTGGTCAGCTTTTTGTTAAGGTGGTGTGGGAGGGGGGCTTCTCTTTATAGCTCATTTCCTATCTCCCTGTTACAGAGGAGGCAGTTTAAGAGCTGTGAGCAATGGCGGGGAGTTTGCCAACTCTCTTCCTGCCCAGGAATGGATGTACATTAATATTATCAAATGTCTCATCAGTGAGGCAGCTGTGTTTTGCTGAAAGGACTCCAAACCACCTAATTCATGTCTTCCCTAGAAAGTAAATTATGATGGCCCTTGTCAAGGGACACCTGTTAACTGCCTTACAAAGCATTTCCCCCAAATATGAAACAGTCCTTGCCTCTTTTTATAATCTCCTGAAAAGGCTTTAAGATATTCTGCTGTATCTGCCAAATTGATAAATAACCTTACCCCTTAGTCCCTGCACATGTACGGTGTTTTTCTGATCTGTCACTGCCTGGCTCAGCTTATGGCCTGGGAGATTTCAGAAATACCATCTAATCTCCAGTTTCAGTTCTTCAAGAGCTAGTCAAAATCAGAGGGCAGCTAGACTCATCATGGGCATTCCCAGATACAATTTAGAAGGTTCTTTTGAGCACTCTCAGTTTGAGCCAACTTGCTCTCCCGTCCTGAGGCTGCTTAGGGAGACAGGGGAGATGACAACAAGCAAGACCTGCTTGGTTTGCTGTGACTAAAAGGACCTATTTGGTTTCCAGCTCATTTATTTTAGATTGAGCAGTAAGAAGTTGGCTCTTGAAAGTTTTATATTATTTTATACCCTGCTCCAGGGAAGCAAAGAGAATGTCTGCAGTCTAATTTTTCCCCCCTGTAGTTTTCTGTTGTGTATTTTTTTTGCCTCTACATCAGCAGTGGGATTATGGTTGGCCATTTCTGTAAGGCTGTAAATCTATATTCTCGGGGTGGGAAAATATACGGAGTGGGTAGAAATGTGTATGTTTGTATGAGCATGTGCACAGAACAAACCTTATGAGATCAGGAAGAAATGTTCTCTTAGGTTGTTGGTGAGTGTGACTCTCCTTTTCCGTCACTGTGGCAAACTTAATGCTTCCTTCTTTTGAATCCTGAATATGATTGGTGATGATGTAAGGGATATTGCATATGTACATATATATCTGGTATAAAGATACATGTATGTATTTATATTTATATATGTATATGTATATACACAGTCATGCAGAAAAAGCATTAGAGATGACCTCCTCAGGAATCCATGATGTGGAAAGTTCTTTCTTATGTTAATGATTTTAATGCTTTTGAAGATCTACAGTTGCATCCCATACACTTCTCCTTGGATGTCCCCTAACCCACACATAACCCTACAGACACATAATGAGGGGAAACCAGGGGCAAACAGTGGCAGGGAGAAGGTGGCCAGTACACCAGCCAGTGAGGGAACACTGCAATTGTATACTTTGTGCTCAGTGCAAATCAATGAGGTGGCAACTTGGCTTTGCAATATTGTCTTCTCGAATGTAAATTTTCATTAATGACTTCAGCACTCCCTGTGAAATGGAGCTCCAGGGCAAGTAAGAGCTCCATTGCTACTTGGATAAGTCGTTGCTCAGCTAGGAATTATTGGGAAGAAGTGAGAGGGCAGGCGGGGCATCAGGAAGTGCTGGAACAGAAACACGGCTGCACCAGCTTTCCCTCATCCTTTCCAGTTTTACATATCTGTAGTTGAGTCAAAGTCACCTATTCAAACCTCTCTAATAACAAACTAGTCGATAATGCATATTCACCCAATAACCAACTTTGCTTCAAGTCATGCACAGGGAAAACAACCAATTTTTAACTCAAAGTTCACTTACTCATTCTCTTTCACTAGATGGAAGTAGCACAAATTCTTGATGAACAAGATACAGGTTTCTCTCACACACCTGAAAACTAGACTTTGCAAAGTTGGAGGGACTTGAAAGCTAGCTTCCTGGGCGGCAGCCATCCTGATTTCTTGTTTTCCTAATGGGCCTCCACTTAGAAGTGCTTTCTGCTTGTGGGTGAAGAGCAATGATGGGTACTGCCGATCTATCGCCATGCTCTGTTGAGCGAGCCAAGGTTTTGTGGAGGGACTAATGAGGTTGATCTGGGGCCGTCAGATCCCTTCTTTTTTCAGCTGTGAGTTCTGCATCCTGTCTTCCTATGTTAGGAGGCATGCGCTCACAACAAAATCAGTGAAACAATAGACTGGAGACAAGAACACATATGGTACAGTTCTCCATGTATGGTATGTTCCAAGTTAGACGTAGGATGAGCCAGAACAATGAGCCATCCTCTATTGACTTTTTCCACTGATTTTAGGAAAAGCTTAACTTGGGAAAATGAAAAAGTGCATATTTTTTCATCAATTTAGTTCGCCTGTTTTTTTTTCCCTGCCGGTTTTATTTTCTACTGACATAGACCTGAGAAGTCATATAAGGTGTCAAACAGAACCTGGGGGCACTGAACGAATGCCATGAAATTATCCCATGAATGCTGAGCAAAATGAGGAAATCAAAACCTTGGAGTAATTGGCTTGAAGTCAGTGTAAAGAAGCCGTTAAGTATAGTCTTCGGTGTTCTCTGGAAGCTAGAAAGAGTCCCAGACAGGGTCCTGATAGCAGGAGAGACATGGATGTTACATGGGCTTTAAACAAATCCTGGTCCTGACACCACTAGACATAAGACTCAGAAACCATCTTAAGTGTGCAAACACATGCCTTTCCAAACCTCTCTAAATATCTCAACCCAGGCAGTATTGATCAGAGTCGATTTAGTTCTATTTAAGGAATAATGACTTCTTCAGATACTGAAGCCCTTTATGACCACACGGGAAGATGCTTTAAAGAAGTGTGCCCTTTCATTCCCATTAGGTGGCAAGTCTCACTAAGCGCCTCTACTGGATGGTATTTCTTATTACGTATCCAGGCTCCTTTGGCAGCATTTTGATTATATGTGAGCCCTTAGCATCAAAATATATCTAAATGACGATCACAGCTAAACTTGCCTCCCTTCTTTTGATGATAACAGGGACATGCATTGGAACAATAGAGGTTCAGTTTGTATAGTCTCGCTGTCCTACCTAGAAGAGCGTTAATTTGGTTTGCAGTCATAGTTTCTACTTGCATGCTGGGGAAATATGTATATGTATTAAAAAATCCAGAAAAACCCAACCCTGGTCACCTTCCTCCTGCCCACAGACCAGTACCCACCCAGTCTGGGTTTTACCTCTGTCTGTCCCAAGTAATCCTATGGGGTTTGGTCAGTGTACCCCAGTGGTGGTTGACAGAAAGTCTTTGCTGTTTGGCTCGTGGGAATGTTTTGGAGGGCTCAACTCAGGTCCCCTACAGACCTTCTCCACCCAGCCCTTACTCCTGCAACCTATTTCCCTAAAACACCCACCTCCCCAGGCAAGATCCCAATAAGTCCAAGGTAGGCTGAAGGTCACAGCAATGATTCCCTTAGTTCACCTCTTGCGCTTAAGAGGTAAAGCTCAGACCAAAGGTTGATGCCCCTTTTCAAATAGGTACTATAAATATACTAGAGCTATCCCTGAAAAGATGCATTTGTATTTATTTATATATAATTTTATATATATATAATGTTTCTTTGTGTTTGTATACAGGTATGCATTATTCTCTAGGCTTGGAAGGAGAGGTACACTACAGGAACAGGCAGAGTGTGTTCATGTGCATCTATGTATAAAATGTATATTTTATATGTATATACACAGCCTCCATCATTGTTTGCATCATTACAACGAATGTACCTCCGACCAGCGAGGAGTACCTGTCAGTGGTGAGTGGAGAGAAGCCTCAAATGGACAGTTCTCTTTGTCTCTTGCATGAAGCCGGTTCAGTAGGCAAGGGTGAAAGCAGTCTGTGAAGCGAGCCGGTCCAGTGCGAGTCCATCCTTCCTCACGTCCACCAAGGAGGGACACTGCCTCTTCTCTAGAGGTCAAGGAACCTAGAACCCAGAACGGGGAGGGACCATCCAGGCTGTCGGTTTAAGATATGGCTTTTCCTGCTAGATGGAGACTGGGCATACAAGAATTCTGTCTTCAAGGAGGACGCTGACCACCAGGAACACAACGTAGAGGCCGAACATGATGAAGCCCAGCACTTTGTTCATCCGCCACTTGCAGAGGGCGATGGAGAGGATGACAAAGAGCAGCATGATGAAGAGGAGGACAATGGCACAGAAGAGGCCATTGCTGCTGACGGCCACTGGTTGGAATCTGTGAATGATGGTGTACAGGAGCCAGGGCAGTGGGAGCCTGTGAGGGAGAGAAGCAGGGGTAGGCAGGAGGAGCAGGTAGACATGTCGAAGAAGGCCTACGACATAATATTAACTTCTTGGAATCTATAACTGGAAATGACTCATAGTGAGTCTTGTTAGGCTTGCTATGACTCAGGCATGGCTAGCCCGGGAAATCACATAAGGGAGGCAGGTGAACTTTAAAAACCTTTATTTATGTCCCGACCGAGTTAGGGAGAATGGAGAGAATTTGTTCTACCGTCGAATAAAATCGAAGATGTGACTGCAGGAGGTGGTTTCTGAATTGGATTTGAAATAATTTTTTGTTTCTTTTCTAGCTGTGATTGAAATGTTGCTTTCAGCCCTAAAGAAGTGAACTGGAGGATTTGGGTTAGAAGAGGAAAAGACAAATGAAAAGGTATGGATATCAGCAGTGAAAACGGCAAAATTATTTTTTAAAATGGAGAGAGAAAGCGAGTATAGCAATGATTTAACAACCTAAAAGCAAGTGAAAATAAGTGATGATGGTGGGGGCCATGATACAATATAGTCGTCTGAAGTTTATTTTGGAAAAGATGGGACAATCTTTTCAGTAAAAAAGGTCTTTCTGAAAGATTTGAGAAAGACTGTATGTTACATTTGTGATGTGATTTTTAAAAACTTTACTGTGTATTTTATACCTGTTCTCCCCCTTTGCATTTGACTTTTAAAGTATGATAATATCTTTTGTTTCCTATCTAGAGTGGCGACCCTAAAAGACATTAAGAAAGCTGACTTCCAGGTGTACCACGAGAGTAGGTTAGGATTCTGTAGGAGAGTAACATAGCTGAGATGCCCGATTCAGTGGCGTGTGTATCCCCAAGTGGCTGGGTGCAGCTGAGTTCCACCCACTGAGCTTAACAATGGAATGGTGTTTAGGAAACGTGGACCCAGCCACCCAGCTGGCTGAGCCTACTCCACAGCAAATGGCTAGGGGAGATTCAGTTTGGGTCTAACTCAGGGGTGTTGAAGAGGAGGCACCCTTTTGAAACAAAGTTCTCCAAAGGAGAAGCATGTAGCATGAAAGAAACAATGAGGTGAAAAGGGCAGTGAGTTTACACACTTGTCTCCTCTGCTAGAGAGAGTGCATGTGAGAGTAGAGCCTACACGTTATGCATCTTTGAAATCCCAAGGCCTGCCACAGGTAAGACCTCATCCAGGTGCATATGCTAACCTGGGCCAAACTGAAGTGATTGATGTGACAGCCTCATGGCGATCATCAGTACAGATCACCTACTAGAGCCTGGTTGGGAGGTGCATATGTCAGTGGATACGTTGAGAGGGGTGGGCTCCACAGGGCCAGATCAGAGAACAAGGTGCAAAATCAGCTTTCTGCAGGAGGAGGCAGCCCTGGCATTCTGAGGTCAGCAATGGAAAGTCAGAGAAGGGCTAAAGAGTGCATGGTGGTGATGATACAAAAATAAAAACTTCTGCTAGGGGCTTGTCCACCAGAACTCTTCTTCCACACTTCTCATCTCTTATTAAGACACACACACACACACACACACACACACACACACACACACACACAATTCTGGTGAAGTCGTGGTTAATGGTACTACAAATAGGTAAAACCCTTTGGGGGAAAAGTGACATCTTCATACTTTTTGGCCTGCCAGTTCTATTGGCAGGGATCAAGCATAATGAAGAATTTGAAATGCAGATATAAGTTTATTCAGAAAAATAATTATTTCAGTGTTACTTCGAGTAGTGAAAAATTGGGGATACCTTAACCTCTAATAATAGGGAATTTGTCAAATAGTGAGCTATTAAGTTGATATGATGTTATGTAGCAAATAAAAATAATAAGCTTATGAAGATGCAGGCAAATAATCATATAATTCTATATTTAAAATGGATACATGTAAAAAATAGCAATGCAATTTCAATAATGTAAAAAATACATGAATTAAAAAAGGGTGGTGGATTATCATTAATTTTTATTTACATTTTACATGTATTATCTAAATCTTTTACCATGAGTATGTATTAATCTCATAAGCAAAAAGAAAATTCAGGCAAGACTATGAAGAAACTTTACACTCCAGGACTTTATGAATTGCTATAAACTCTTGGGAAAGACGTTTTGGAAAAATATACATCGATAGCCATCAAAATACTCATCATCTTTAATTCATTAATATTTCTTGAAGGAATTTATCCTAATTAAAATAATTGAAGAGGAGGTTTTTCTGCATAAAAGTGTTCATAGAAACACCCATAATAGCAGAAAATTGGGAAAAAAATAAAAAGGTCTTACTAAAGGATAATGGTTAAACTGAAAAGCCATTTGAAACCATAAAATATTAATTATGAGTTATGAATAAGCTTAGAAAAATAGCTGATATACTAATTTACTAATAGATGCCTACTCAGTGACAGGCCTTTAAAATGGAAAAATAAAAGCCATCTAAGAGGACAAAACTGAATATTCCCTAAGTAAACTTTGTGAAATATTTGGAAAAAAACATACAGAAGCTAAATGTTTTTCTCGGGTAGCAGAATTCAGGGTGATTTTTCTTTAAACTTTTATTTGTTACTAAATATACAATTTAAGAACAATGAATAAAAACATCTTGCAATTTCCTAGAATATTTATCTTTCAAAAGCATGACAAATATGGCTTAGAACACTTGTAATTTTTCCTAATTTGTAGGATTTTATCTTTTAAACTACAGAACATTTGTCTCTCTCTCTCTCTCTCTCTTAACAAGAGATTGACCAAGATAACTACTCTAAATGTATAGGCAGTAGAACTGAGAAACACTGTTTATATTATGGATATTCTTTCTTTAAAACATACACCTTTTAAGGTATCCATCCATCCATCCATCCATCCATCCATCCATCCATCCTACAAACATTTGTTAAGCCACTACCATGCATTAGGTAAGGTATTAGGTTTTGGTGAATAATTGCTCTTGGAGAGTTCACAGTCTAGCAGGCAGACTGATGTACATGATCATGGCATGTGTGGAAAGTATACAGGAGCAAAAGCTCCCAGGTCAGGCTCAAGAGAATCAGACAAGCTTGTATTTTAGTTGACATTGAAAGGATAAGTTAGAGTTTCAGGCAGGAAGGACTCTTGAGTGACAGGGGCCAATAAAGAAAGGAATATGGTAGGAGAGGGCATCTTTGGAACTTAAAGGTAGTTCAGACAGTGGATGATCAGAGCAGGGTTTTGTGAACAGATAGTGCTATAGTTGAGAGCACAGACTCTGTTCAAATCTTATTTACTAGTTGTATGAACTCTGTGCCCTTGTGTTTCCTTATCTGAAAAATAGGGATGTTAAAATACCTCATGGGTCTTTGTGTAGTTTAAATGGATAAAAATGTACATACAATGCATATAAACATTGAATGAAAAAAAATATTATGTCCATTAGGTAATAGGAAAGTATAAGATTATTCAAGAAGTTCAATGAGAAAGTAGATGCATTTTAGTGAGTTTCCAAATTCAAGTTTTAAGAGGTCAGCTCTTCCAGGAATATAGGATGATATCCCATGTTTTACTTTCTCAGGTGTCTGCCATTCAAGTTATTTATCAGACTAATTTTACTTTTGATGAGTTAAATGAAATGATAGAAATTAATGACATTCCTTCCCAATCTGATCCACTTTAGAGATTATCCATATTGAGAACTCCAGTTTGCTTAACTTTAAGAACAGACCTCATCTTTTGACTTTCAAAAAACCTGGAATACCTTTACCAGCAAAGATAAGCAAATGATAATGCAAATCTGCCAGTTTTACCAAGGACAGAGATGAGATATTTTTGCTGGGCCTATGTTTGGTCCAATTTGATTTACAATCCAAATCTCACCTGAGGTGGGTAGGACATTTAATTAGAATTAGAATATGGACAAAAAGTAAGGAACAACTACCAGAGCATCTCTGTCATGCTTGAATATTGAATATTTATAACACATAGCCAATGACATTGTATAAGCAAAAAGTATGTCCTACAACATCTGTCCTGTAGGCAGGTGTGTGTTTCTGCTTGTTTAGGGATAGCTTATTCTTCACTAAGTTCCTAGAAAATGAAAAATGGAGTTGGTGAAATTGAGTGATACTACCAGTCTTTACTTTCTATTAATATTGGTTAGTTTTAGGCTCAAAGATCCTGGTCATGTCTTCACAGCTTCTGAGAAGACAAAGACAGCGATGGAGCTGGTGTGCACCTTTATAGAACTATCTTTACTCACCCTACGGTGATGTCAAAAATGTTGCTTCCAACAGAGCTGGATACAGCCATGTCCCCAAGGCCCTTCCGGGCCACTATGACACTGGTGATAAGATCAGGGATGGAGGTCCCAGCAGCCAGGATGGTCAAACCCATAATTTCCTCACTAATGCCAATTGTCTCTCCAACCTAAAAGTGATGACAGGAACAAATAAATGAGTGTTTTTAGTCACAAAACCATCAAAACCACAAATATTTCAATGAAACACCCTTTTAAATGAGTTCCTACTCTGCACTGTGCTGAGTGTTGAGATGATAAAGAGGAATAAGCCACAAACATTGCCATAGAGGGGTTTATGCTTTAATGATACATGGACCCAAGAGTTTGGGAATGTTCACATAAGGATTAAATAGACAATCTCAAAAAAGAGCTACAGAGGGCTAGAGGGCAGCCTCTATATGGTGTTACTAAAACCGGGTAGAGGAAGTAGAATATTAGTTATTAAAGTCAATTGGTCAGTGGCTTCAGGGGCCAGTACACCAAATCCTGTGGCAAATTTGCCCTTGGATTTACCATTGACGGTTAAGGAGTTACACCCAGTATCCCTGTTTTTCCTTAACATCTCCTAGTGTTGATAATCTACTCTTAAACACTTAATACTATCATTTCCATAGGAAACTTGATTTTGGGTGGTTTTGGATATGATCATACAGAACTGTAAATCAGCAAGGTAGCTGTGAAGAAACGATCAGTTAGAAAATCAGAGGACCTGTGTGCAAGGTCTGGCTCTGGCATTTATTAAGTACTCGATCTATTACTAACTGAACCAATTGTACAGTGTATTTGATCCTCACTTTCTTACCCATGAAGTAGGGATGATCATACCTTCAAGGTGGTTGTGAGAACTAAGTGATAATTTGTGGAGAAGCCCTTAATGTTATATCATTATTGAAAAGCAAGGGGAGGCTGTTATTATATTTCCTTTTGGTTTTTGTTTTTTAAGACTGATGAATTCTGTCATAGACAGTGGTTGTGCCTCAGATGAAAGCTCCTCCATTCTCTTGGCTAATCTGTTTGTCTTCTTATCAGATATACATATGATTTGCAAATAAGGGATGCAAATTGCCTGGCAGCAGTACACATTCAGTCAATAATAGTTACCACTATTATCTTTGAGAACGTACAATCTTCATACTTTGTTCTCTCATTCATGTGTTACGACAAACAATTGCTGAGAGTTTATTCTTGTGATGGGCGTATGACAGGTATTGAGTCATACGCCCATTGCAAGTGGTAAAAGTCAAATACATCATCATTTTTGTAAACTGAAGCTCAAGGAAGAGACCATTTTGTCTTCATCCCCTTTCCTAAGAGCCAGTTTGAAAGGCTGCTAAGGTGAGTGGCTGCCCAAGAGAAAGTAAGTGTCACCGAGTCAGGCAAAACCTTGATGTCCCTCCTCAACCTGAGCTGTCCTGGTTTCAGGCTTCAGAGGGCAGACAGCAGTTAGGCTTGCTTTCCTTATTGCATGCCTGTCTGGGGCTATGCAGATTGGACCCCATGCTACAGGGGAAGGCCTGGAGACAAGGGTAAGTTAAGTGAAGTAAATTTCTTTAGTCCTAGTATATTTAACTTATCAGACACGATCCTGTGTGACAGTCTCAGAAAGCAAACACATTGATTAACTACTTGGCAACAGAAAGAAAAACCAGGCAAATGGTGTCACTCTTAAGGTCTTACCTGGTGTGCCCACCAGACCATCAAGTACGAGAATATTGCGATCCAGGCGATGGAGCCAAAGAACGTGATGGGAAAAAACTTCTTTGATGACTGGAAGAGAACCAAGAAGAGGTGAAAGGATCAGTGCTATCAGCTGAGGTGGTCTGATAGTCCAAAGCTAAAACCACCAATGCAGCATGCAGTCTTGGTAGGATTGGCAATCAAAAGGCCCTAGCCATTCCTAGTCAATCTGGGACAGTAGGAATGTCTCTTAGGAATGTGAAATTAGTTGGAGCCAAATCATTGCAAAGCTAGTGCTTGACATGGAAATCTCCTGATGAGAATGTCTATTCCTGTTTTGGATGCTCAGAAGCCCTTTGCTCTCACCCTTTCCAAGGCCTGCTTTCTCAGCCTTGCCTTCAATCTATTAACTACCCCACATCTTCCCTTCTTTTCTTATTCCCTTTCCTTTCTTCGGCTCAAGTTCATCAGAATCAGTTTCTATTGCTTCAACTCGTGTTTCATAATAATCCACATGCCAGAAAACCTATGGCATTAATTATATTTTACAAGAAACAGGAAGAATCAGTAAGTTCAAAAATAGATTGGTTCTTCTTATGGTCTCATGAATTATCAAGAAAAGCCACACAAAAGAAGCCATCACCACAGTTTCTATAAATCCCTGATGATGGCCAATCCAGGACATTTGAACTACACATTTGATGGGAGTAGACCTGGGTAGAGATGCCCAACTGTGTTGCTGTCTATGGGATGGCAGGGTAGAACCTCTTGGGGGTGTTTTCTGTCCTGTTCTCCAGCCCTAACTATATTATGTCCAATTCTACCTCTATCACTGGACTTTGTGCAATCTCAGGCTTACAGTAGGAGCACTTTTAAAATTTCTTTCAAATATCAGCTGGAATCAGACACTCAAAATGCAGTGTTTCTTACCTGACCCCACTATAGGAAAATCCAGGCTTGCACTACCATTGGTGGTGTTCTGTTGAGACCCTTTTTGCAAAATCAAGGTCCTTTAAAACATGCTTAGATAGCATAATGTTCTCAGCCTCTCACCTATTATTGCCAAACAGTTTTTACTTCAAAGCTTTCCACTTTGAGAAACAATCTCATTTTTTGCTTTGATAATGTCATCCAATTTCATCCAGAGAAACAAATCCTGGAGTTGACTGGGATGAAAGCTATCTCAGTTGTCTAAAGGGCTGACCTTGGGCAGTCATGTAGAACACTTTTTGCCATGGCTTCTGAGAACTTCATTAAAAAGAAAAGATAAACTTATACACGGCAATCTTTTGAATATCCATAAGAGGAACACAGTCTCTATTGCTCCAAACCAGGCTTATGTTCTCTTTACTGATTTCAACATCTCAATATATTTTTTTTATTATCATTCATACAGTTCTGTTAAATTTTACAAAATCATTTCTCTCTTTAAATGATTGCTGCATTTTTTTTTTTTTGGCCATTCGTTAGCTGGGATATCTGGAAGATCAGTGGGCTTAATTAAATTGGGGGAGGCAGCAGGTCATAGGGAGTAGTCACAACCTTATTCTCAAATGCTTCTCCCACTGCTACCTTTTCAGTATTAGTGAAAACCTCTTGAATTCAATTTGGTGCTTATGATTCTTAATCAAGAAGCCAATTAGTAGTGAATGGACATATAAATGTATCTTGGTCTAGTGTTGTATTAGGGACTCATTAAAAAAAACGTTAAAAATAATTTTTCTTTAACTTTTCAGGCCTTTATCATTAACTAGGCATAGGTAAAGGCTGGCACCTACTCTGTATCCAGATCTTGAACTAGACATAAAATTTAAACCTAGGTCTATCTGACTATACAGCAGGTATTCTAATATCTAGGTTATACTGATTCTTTCCAAAAGAAAAACAGTGCCAATAATACTCGGCTACAGACACATAATGATTATCATCATCACCATAAGACTGGGCTATGATCTGAATGCCAGAAAATATAAAGAGCATCAGGGAAATATAGACTAGCATTCCAGCTGTATGGCCATCTGTCTCACCCAACCTCTCCTGTTGGTCCTGTTTTGGAACCATCAACCCCTCATGCATCAGCAGTTTGGTTAAGTGTTTCCCAACTGTCAAAGTACCTTATCATTTCCAATTTCACAGCCCATGTAATTCCTCTTCGTTCACATTTTCTGAACTATTCTCCTTATTTTGCCTCTATAGTCTCATTCCAGACATCACTGCCCAGTAGCACCTGTGCAGTTGTTCAGTTACCAGTCTCAATGGAAGGAAGAAAATAGCTCCTGAAGCCAAGGTCTGACACGTTAATTTATGGTTAGTAATAGTGGCTCATCCTGACATCTGCTGGGATGGGCCTCATACTAATTAGCAAAAAGCAAATTGTGTCCATGTGCCTACCACTTTGTTCCCAATGTAATGGTTTACTTGCATAATTGACAGCTAATGTTCTCATTAGAAGCTTTTAGTACATCAGAATGATATTTTCTTGGCTTGCAAAATGTTGCTGGACATTAGCTGTTTGCACGAATTGGCTATATCTTTACTGACTTAAACTCAACAAATATTCACTGAGCATCTACTCTCTGCAAGATTCTGGGACATAAATATTTAGCAAAATTCTCCAAAACAATTCTATTAAAGATTAAAACTGTGGCCTCTGGATTAATAGGACAGTATTGAAATTCCTGTTCACCAATTACTAGTGATATGCCCTGAGACAAATTATTTAACCTCTCTAAGCTTCAATTTCTTCATCTGTAAAATGGAGGGAATAGTAATATCTAGTTATTCTGAGGATTTTGTGCACATCAAGTGTCTAGCAAAGTGCCTGGCACACAATAAGAACTCAGGTAACAACGGCAATTGTTATTCGACGATATTCTCATTTTGGTTTTTAAGAGATGAGGACACTGAAACTCTGCCTAGTGTCTTGGCTTTGCCTCTTACTAGCTAAGATGCTTTGCCTCTTGCGTGTCCAAGTGTGCTTGGGCAAGTCACTAAACTTCTCTGAGTTCACCAATTACTTCACCTTTGCTAGAACTGTGATTGGTACATAGTAGACATAATAAATGTACTTAGTGAATGAATCAGTGTGAATAGAAATCGCAAAATCCTAGCTCGGTTCTCATGTACCTTTCTAGTTTTGATAGGTCATGTTTTGACATCTCATTAGATGTATTCCTGACTTGTAAAAATATCCATCCTAAGGCATGAGAGAATATAACTTTTGGGGTCTTTATTTGTTTTACTATTTTCCATTTTCATCAAAGACATGTTCCTCATTATGGTTTACATTTTAGTTTTATTTTACTTTCAAAACAAAGCCATTAATTTAAGAAAACTATAAAAGTGAAGCCTGTGCTAATTATCTGAGCTGGAAGTGTGCGTAATTCAGCAAACACTGTCATATAATTTGCATATAAATGAAGTGGAAATAAAAACAAGTGGGAGTACTATTTACTCTGAAACTAGATGTATATGTTTTTTAAAAATCACGTTTTCTTTGTAATTATTGTCAAGGCTTGGGACGTTCGGAGGAGGCAGGGCTGCCAGGCCCTGAGGAAGTAGCAAATGTCTATTAATGAATATATTTGTCCCTTGTTCTATCTCTTCCTGGATAATTTTTCAAGAGGCCCTTTCAATGGCCACAACATTTTCTCCCATCAAGTGCTGAGACCTATTTCTCCACCCTCTGAATTGTGGCTGGAAGTGACAGTGTGCAGATTCCAAAGTACACCCCAGGAGGACTTTGCGGCTTTTGTCCTTGCTGCTCTTGGAGCTTGGCCATCACGTAAGTAAGCTCAGGCTACCCTGTGTAAGGATAAGAGACCATGTAGAGCAGAGACAAGCTGTTCCTCTACACCAATCAGCCCCAGCCATATAAGTGAGCAGCAGAACTGTCTAGCTGAGCCTAGCCCAAATTGCCAATTCATAGACTTATGGGCTTTAGAAAAATGCTTATTGTTTTAAGCCACTAAGTTTAGAGGTGGTGTGTTATACAGTACAAAATAATTGATACAAATCTAATAAAACCCTTCTGTGCTAATAATCATGATCAAGAAGCCATTTATTGGCTTTTGTGTCAATTGGCATGCTTTCTTTTATTTGACATTTCATATATCTAAGGGAAACCATGTAATTCATTTAAACCAGTATGCTTTCAGAGTAGATTGGGACTATCCTGGGCAAACTGGGTTATATAGTCATCTTAAATTTGCAATATTGTATTGATGGCTATCTCTTTATGTTTTCCTTAATCACAGAATGTCATGGCTGCTGGGGAATCTAGAGATCTTCCACCCTGTACTTCACAGAGGAAAAAATACGAGGGTCCTGAGTTGAGAAGTGACTTTCCGAAGATTGTACTGCTCATGAGTTGTGTGGCAAAAACCACCACAATCGACATGGTAAAATGAGAATGCTCTGGAATTAGGAGACTCAGGTTCGAGTCTGGCTCCTCTCACTGATATAGCTGTGCAGTCTTGCTCTGTAGTTATACGTGGGTATGCTTCGTTTCCTCTATTAAGTTTAGAGCTCCTTACAGGTGGAAACTGTGATTCTTGTGTCTTTATATCTCTTTTAAGGCACAAGCTTGATACTTGGCATATAATAGGTACTCAATAAATATTTGCTGAGGAAATCTAAAACAACCAAATGTTCCACCTGAGAGTTTCATTTCTGCTTGAGACAACATATAGTATATCCAGAAAAAGACAGAAAAAATCCAATTCATCCCAGGGATAGCACTTGGGAGCACAGTGAGTGCAAGCCCCACTGGCTAACCTAGCCTAGGCTACATGGGCTAGCTCTCAAGGTATGCTGCACAGTGAATGACCAGTCAAAGATATTGTAGAGGAGACTGTCATGTACAGCTGCATTTTCTTGCTTTGTACCCCTGGGAATTGTAGCTTTAGCCAGTACAGTTGTCATGATCCAGGTTAACTACTGCCATGGTGGAGTCTTGGTTGTTGTCCAGGAATTGCTAGTTAAGAACTTTGATCTTGGACGGATTTCTTGTCTTTCCAGCTCAGATCATGGAGAGGATGAGCACTTCGTCAGCCCTTTACCTAGGAGTCCCCCACTCAACCCTGAGAGCCCAGGGTCTTGAGTTATTCGCATGTTCCTCCCATTCCTGTACATTTTCTTGATTGCTTTAGTGGTCGTGTGCTGACATCCTCTCAATTAGTCCTCTACTCTGGGCTGTACCACATTAGGCCTGCTTTTGGGATGTAGAAAATTGTGTCTGTCTTTTTGATTTTCCTCCCTGGGGCTGAGCAAAAGCATAGGGCTAAACAGAGCAATGGAAATAGAAAGAGAAAGAGAGAGAGCGAGTGAGTGAACAAGCGCATGTGAACATGCACATCTAGGAAATGTCATGTGATGTGAGTCAAGAAGAAACTGAACACATTTCAGTTATTTAGCTGTAGGTTTCTGGGAGGCCAGGCCTTTGCATAGAGCAGATGTTCTGTTATTGTGGCTTGAATAAAGAAACCTAAACATTGCTTTAAGTGAGCAACATCTGTCACATGCACCCTTTAATAGGAAACCTCTAACGCCAGGAGTCCTGACCGGGCCTGATCTTGGCAAGACATGGCTCCCCACCAGGCTGGATTATTTATAGGCCAGGCTCATGAGACAGAGTTTTTCTTCTGTCTTTTTTCAAGTGAGGAAAGTGGGATCATCATGGGACTCTTAAGACTTATGTTAAATTGTGCCAGTATTCTATTCCAAATCCTTTTAGAAATGATGTTTTCAGATTTCCACCTTCTGGCATCATGAAATATGAGAAGCCCAAGCTGTGTGGTCACATGGACCTGGATCTGAATCTCAGCTCCATCCCCTAGGAAGTGACCAGGCATGAGTTAGTTAACTTCTTTGTGCCTAAGTTTCTTTCTACTTATGCCTATCTATCTATCTATCTATCTATCTATCTATCTATCTATCTATCTATCTATCTATCTATCAATCATCATTTTCTTCTTATACTAGCTGTTTCCTGAGATTCCACAAAATGATTTATTGAAAATACCTGGGCAGAGTCTGATGCCCAGTAGGTACACACTTTTGTTGAATGAGTATGTGTGTAGGGCTATAATAAAAAGCAAAGTTGTTTCTCCTTATCTCTCTTTAGGTCTTTCATCCCGTGGGGCACTGGCTTTAGAACCTAGTTTAACAACACATGGTGAGGCTACCTTTAGGTTTTCCAGTAGACAATTACAGCTGAGTCTAGCCTTTGAACCATCTTTGCCTCCAGATTCCAGCCCCCAGCCATCTGAATCACTCTCACCAATTGAAGTCTTCCCAGTTGAGGCCCCAGGCCTGGCGGAGCAGAGACAAGCCATCCCCAATGTGCCTTATTCAAGTTCCCGGTCCACAGGATCCACAAGCAGCATAAAATGGTGGTTGTTTCACACTGTTAAGTTTTGGAGTGATTTGTCATGTAGATTCAGTAACCCGATGTGTCCAGAGAAATTTCAGGCATATGTAAGTGTACACATGTGTATATGTGTTACCCCCTTTTCTTTTTAAGACAAACAGAAGCAGACAATGCATAATGTTATATCATGGAATCAATTCAAAAACGCTTTACTTACAGGTTTGCGAACATCAGGTAAGGTAACCCAGAGAGGAAGCACTATGGGGAGGACAATTAGGAATGTGACTTGCTTTCGGGGGTTGGAAGGCCAGGCCAAGCTGAGAGGCTGACTCTCTTCATCCTCACCCATTTCTGTGGTCTGCTATAGAAAGAGAGAGACAGAAAGGAATCTCACTATGGAAGGGGGACACAAAATGCCATATATACATGCCTTATTGTTAAATTGTACACCTGAAACTTACTGGATTTTGTTAAGCACTGTCACGAAATATATACATATATATAAATTGAAGATAAATTAAAAAAAAAAATGAAACAAAAATGATGACGATGTCCACAGGTCACAAGA